AAATGCGTTTTTCAAAGTCCTTAGCGAGCACCAAACTGGTTTTAGCAGGTAAGAACACCAAATGACCTCCGAGGTACCCACTGTATACAGCAAAACATCGTCGTCTGTTTCTCTAATGAATTGGGGGCCATGAACGATTCTGGTTAGAACACTGAAACTGCGTGGCTTTCTTTATTGTGGTCAGATTTCACCTGTACCGCCCAATTAGTCAAAACAGAGTTTACAGATATCCAGAGGAGGCCTACGACGAAGCATATGCCGGGTCTAAAGTGACAAGGGTGATTGACAGCGTCAGTATTTGGAGTAGATTACATATTGGTGCCAAAACACCAACGGTAGTCATTGACGAAAACCTGAACCAGATTAAATAAAGGAATAATCTCGAAACCACTTGACTATCATTTGATAGGGGACACCTTAGGAACAATTCTAGGTTGCACGATGAGGTTGCAGGTTCACACAGAGCACTTTTAATAGCAGATAACTTACAGAACCAAGGGAATGAGCAGCTACCCTGGTCATCAAAATCGCCACATTTGAACCACATAGACAATATTTCGGTAGACCATTACTCACCAATCAACTGCCTACATGTCCTACAACAAAACTGGACCAGATTGGAAATTTTAGACCGATGCCTGGAATGCTAATCCAGATTGAACTCTAAAAACCTACCCCCAAGAAATGCCTTGCCGCTTGAGAGCCCTGGCAACAGCCACGAAGAGGCCAGGCGTAACAACGACCATTACTGTGACTAGCAACTGACATGAGAGTCTTTTGTGGAGCGTATTACCCTTTTACAGACGATAATTTGGACAATATGGAGATCCAAAATATCTCTTTTCATGGGAGTCGTATGACATAGAATAGGCAATGTGTTTTTGTTTGCTTCTCTGGCGAATTCCATTAATGAACTGATGTCACAATGACATCAAAGAGATAATTTAAAGTAATTAAAACACGATTTTAATCCTTATTTTCATTTATCAGTCAGCAAAATAGGAAAAAACTGATAAAAAATTATTTCGAAAAAAATATTCCATATTAAATGTCAAGTCTGTATTATGGATAAAATAAGATATTACACAGCCACATACATTATATGCCCTGCCAAATAATTTTCCATAAGCACCCTGTCTGCTACTAAAATGAATATATGTATAAATATCATAGCAAGAAAAAGAAACCATTGCTTTAATAACTGACCAATTATTCCACCGTAATTAAAAGTCAATTTAAGACACTTGAAGGAAACAGTATCTTAATCATAAAGAACCAAGAAACAGTCATTTTAGTTAAGTAAAACAAGTGGAATTGCAGTTCGCGTTTTCCACGTTACCGTTCATTGTCC